CCCCCGCCTTTCTTTTTTTAATTGCATAATATGCTAGAAAATGATCTGGATTTGGGACTTATTTTTAACCAGAAGAGGCTCACTTCACCCAATCTGATTTTGGATTTAACGCCCAGCAAATGCTTTCCAAAGCTCTTTTTTTTTTTGCGTTGAAACCCTGACTTCTTTTGCCCCCCTCTCCCACTTCACAAGGTCTCTTTGCTTTTAAATGTTTTTCAGATGTTTTGGGGGATGTTTGCAAGCCCTTAGCTACTGCTGGACCAGCGTAGGACGCTCATAATCGGTGTTAGACCTGCCTGGTGCAGTCGTTTTCGCAGGCGTGGATCCCGTTGGGGGAACTGGGAATTGTACTCAAATATGGGAGGCAGGTTTTGTCTCCTAGACGATAGCTGCGTAATAAAGTTCGTATGAGAGGAGTCAGATTTGGGGTTAAAAATCTATTTATATGCCTATTGCAACTTCTCTCTGGGTAGCTTGGGGCTGGAAAGCATCTTCCTTTTTATTTGTTTATTTATTTATTTTTAAATGAGGCAGAAATCTTCATGCCATTTGATTAGTGTTTTGTTAAATGGAAGGAGGGATGCAGGGATGAACAGGATCTCTGATCCTATTAAAAGGGCAGCTGGGTTAATGCTCCAGCACCTCACCACTCCACACAGGAAAATGAGAGAGGAAAGCCAAGTGTTTGCCCTCAGATGTGGAAACCGGGCTGGGCACAATCCTACCTCTGTGTCTCCTCAGAACTTGGCATCTACTGATTCGATGCAGCCCATGGGAGAGGCAGGTGAAGTGTGGTAATGGCCTCTGCTCCTTCTCCTTTTGATGTAGATGGGATAAAACAGCTTGTCTGGTAAACTGGGTCCATGCAGGTCATTGGGGAGAGAGTCAGAGGGAACCTGCCATCCCACAAGACGTGCCTGTCACGGGGACCGTGCTGTTCCACCCGAGGAATCGCAGATATTTCAACCAACCCAACCTGGCTACTCCCTGAAGATGGGTGGTGATGTGGGGCAGGGGCTTTCTGTCCCTAATGCCCTCCCCATTCAGACACAACATGATATTGTTTCTCTGTCACAGCACAGCGATTCCTCCAGTGCTCTGCGTTTGGGGGGATCTTTGTGTCACAAACATAACGGTGACAAAATGAGGCTGGGACTGTGCTGCGTGCAGGAGCATTTCCAGGTGCTCTGAAACAGCCTGGAAGAGGCAGCACTGGGGATTGACCCGCCCTGCTTACTCCTCGCTCACAAATGATTTATGGTGCAGGGCAAGTTTGGTAAAATTCCCTTTGTTTCCTTCTTCAAAATCTGCTGTCTGACCAGGAGCTGCGTTTCTGCTGATTTTTGTTCTTTAGAAAGCCCTACGGCATTCTTTTGTTCTCAAATGAAACCTGACGTGGCTGTAGCGAGGGACAGGCTTTGATGGGAGAGAAGTGGAAGACAAATGGTGCATCTGGAGCAATGAATCCTTGCTCTGGTGCAAAAGCTGTTCTCTCTGTGGCTGGTAAGTCTTACCCGAGGAAGCAGAGGCTGCTGGCATTGCCTCAGCTCCCACATGGATTCAGAGTATGGGACTGGGAGTGCTCCCTGGGGTCCTGGAGGAGGGTGCTCAACCCTTCAGGAGACACCAAGCTCCTTTGAAGCACTTCTGGGCAGGTGCCCCTGTCCTCAAACTGGGACCGTTGGGATGGAAGGTCTTGGCTGCAGCAGTGGAACACAGTGCAGAGAATGGTCACGGGGATCAGACCAGCTGACCTGGCGGATCATCGTCTTCACCTGTAATTTATCTGAGTGTAGGAACTGCATTTCCTGCGCCAGTAGTTCAGTCTTGTGCCATCAATTAAATAAACCCATGAGGTCAGACAACGCCTGTATCGTCGTGTGCCAAAGGGTTGTATCTCCTGACTTCAGTGGGAAGGGTTCTCTGAGGAAACCGTGGCTTGAGCCTCGCTCCCCTTCCCTTGGTGAACACTTTTGTAAAAAAAAAAAGGGGAATTAATTGAATTCATTGTAAGAACCTGGGTGGATTGTGTTTGTAGTCCCAGGCTTTATAGTATTCCCACTTTATAGTGCTGCATCTGCCAGGAAATTTAAAGGAGCGTTCAGTATATTATCTGTAGCTTGTGCACCCATGTGCAGATATTTGGGGACAGAGGTTGTGGAGTTTACATCTCTGGAGATGTTCAAACCCACCTGGATGCCATCCTGTGCAACCTGCTGTAGGGAACCTGCTCTGGCAGGGGGGTTGGACTGGATGATCTCCTGAGGTCCCTTCCAACCCCACCAGTCTGGGATATGGTGAACGTATGCAAGCGGTAAATTTGCTGCCAAGTGCGCAAGGGCTTGAGTTTTAGAGATGCTGTTTGAATTCCTGCTTGGAATTCACCAGCGTTCACATGATGGACCAGAGCTCTGCGTTAAGGTGGCTTCTGCATCCTCATCACGCTGCTGTGGGCTGAGAGCGAGTTATTGACGCGGGGAGATTTCCACTTGTGACTGTTCAGGGTAAGCGAGGAGGGGACGGAGCGGCCAGTCTGTCCACACCAGGGTGGGCTTGGGGCAGTGGTTTGGGTGGGAAGAACGGGCTTCAGGCTTGGCTGGACTCATCGGGCTCTCCTCTTTCCTTTCAGATATATGTTGGGGAAAGGAGGAAAGCGGAAGTTTGACGAGCATGAAGATGGGTTGGAAGGCAAAGTGGTGTCTCCTACTGACGGTCCCTCTAAGGTGTCTTACACCTTACAGCGTCAGACTATCTTCAACATTTCCCTTATGAAACTTTATAACCACAGGCCATTAACCGAGCCAAGCTTGCAAAAGACAGTTCTAATTAACAACATGTTGAGGCGAATCCAGGAAGAACTCAAACAAGAAGGCAGCTTGAGGCCCGTGTTCGTGACCGCTTCGCAGCCCGCCGACCCTCTCAGCGACAACTTCCGCGAGGCCCAGCCGGCGTTCAGCCATCTGGCCTCCCAGCCCCTTCTCCCCACTGACTTGGTAAGCACTACGCCCCTGGAGTCTTGCCTCACCCCGGCCTCTTTGCTCGAGGACGACACTTTTTGCACTTCCCCGACTATCCAGCACGATGGTCCGACAAAAACACCATCTCCTGCTCTCCAACCAGAAAAGGACAGCTTCTCCTCAGCCTTGGACGAAATCGAGGAGCTTTGTCCAGCACCTACCTCCGCAGAGGCAGTAGCAGCCGAAACATCAGCCCATGACTCTAAGGACCACCCCAGCCAGTCCAACGTTCAAAAACCCGAGGGTCTCCCGGAGAGCAGAACGGCCGAATCCAAACTCATGGACTCGCTACCTGGCAACTTTGAGATCACGACTTCCACAGGTTTCCTCACAGACTTGACCCTGGATGATATCCTGTTCGCTGACATCGATACGTCCATGTATGATTTTGACCCCTGCACGTCTGCCACGGGAGCTGCCTCAAAAATGGCTCCTGTCTCAGCAGACGAGCTCCTCAAAACTCTCGCTCCCTACAGCAGTCAACCAGTAACTCCAAATCAGCCTTTCAAAATGGACCTCACAGAACTGGATCACATCATGGAGGTGCTCGTTGGGTCTTAAAATAGAGAAATATAGCAACTTTTATTTTTTATTTTATTTTATTTTAATTTTAAGTACCAGTATATACACTTGGTAGTCTCTCCATAGTCCCTCCTACCCCCATACCCCCTCGATTCACAGCACTGTGCATGCGTCCTTGCTTGCCTTTTTTGAAAAGAAAAGGATCACACTAGTTTTTGCTTCAAGCAGAGTTGGAGTGCCTTCATCCACCTATGACCACTTCTAATGTATTTTCTTTTTTTTTTTTTAAAGTGGTTCCTCAAGGAAGACCGAATATCCCGGTATAGGAGAAGAATATGTATTGTAGACAATGTTATGTTATTACAAAAAAAGGAAAAAAAAAAAAAAGAAGAAAAAAAATTGTAAAAGCTAAGCACAAGGATTATGTTGGGGAAAAGCTGTAAATTGCATGTGCATATTTGTCTATTTTTTCTATAAGTTTTATTGCAAGAGGTTAAAAAAAAAAAAAAAATATTATTTAGATAATCTCAATACCATTTTAGCCCTGTATAGGTTGACTTAGCAATTCAGCCTTTTGGAGGCATTAACCTGCTCCTCTTTAAGTGTTGCATTTACCTGGCTGTTTAGAAACTGCTGCCCAAATTTATTTTATATTTTTGTACAGATTCTGCAGTTTATGATATTGTTTTTTCTAAAAAAAAAAAAAAAAAAACCAAAACAAATGCCGTTTATACACACACACACACACACAGACACACAAAAAAATAGCTATTTTGATAGGATTTGCTCACATAGTTCCTGCGTAATTCAGATGTACAAGAACCACTTGTACTTTTATACAGAGTTGTAACGTTTTATATGTGTATGGTGCAAAGAGAAAATTGGATCAAATAAGCCTGCAGTCGGTTTCCCTGAAGGCAAAAACAGAAAAAAAATATATATTAAGTGCTTTAAGAAAGGGCGGGGAAGCTGCTTCCGTGGGAGTTTCACAAGTGTTTGCTCCCTGCTGTACCCACTGCGCACTACTGTGATCCCCCAAAACTTAGAGCCATGTCCTTTTCCAACACCTACGTGAAGCAGTTGGCAGGAAACAGTTGTGGAACTTCTTCACCCGGAAAGATCCTGCGTGCCACCGTGACCGCAGCTCCCAGGAATGGTTTTTGAGGGGGGGGAGAAAACATCCCCATCACCCACCAAGAGCCAACCTCTGTCAGCAACCTTCCTGAGCGCCGGGCACGCCTGCGGAGCGGGCAGGAGACCGGCGTTGACAGCGTCCGCTCGCCCTTTCTTGGAGCATTTCTCCTTCCTTCCTTCCTTCCTTCCTTCCCTCTTCCCACCTCACTGTGCTAAGTGCTGAAAAAAACACAAACACAAACAAAAGGCAACTTCAGTATTAACTGCAGTGAAGCTCATCTCTTACCTGCACTGGATGGACTTTGCTTTAATATCCATTGCTGTCGAAACTGGAGCCAGTCGCGTCCCACCACTCGGCATCTCGTGAGAGGGTTTGGTTTCCTGTATCATCACCTGCGTTACCTGCTTTACACTTTATCAACCCGTTTTATGATGAATATACAGACACAGCTTTCTATGCATGGGCCCGTTCCCCGGAACACCTGAGAAGTCTTCTCATTACTGCACCAATAGCTTTTTTTTGGTTTTTTTTTAATTACCTTTTTTTTTTTAAGTTCATTGTGGTGTAGATTTAATTTAAAAAAAAAAAAGAAAAAGAAAAAAAAAAAAAACCCCAACAACCCCACATTTTAAATGTATCACGCCTATTGCTGAAGTTGCTACAGCATTTTAGGGGTTTTGTTTGTTTGTTTTCCTTTTTTCAATGGTACTTTAGCTGTTGAGCGCCGGTTACAACCTATATTGTTGACATGACATGCCTATGGCTTCTTTAGGAATAACTTTTATATTTATTTAAGAAATTTTAAATTATGTTTTAACGTCATTTGGCAATATTCAGTCAATTCTGCTCCCTTCTTGTCATGGATGAAATTGGGTCTTGTCTGCCTTTTAAGGAGGCGGCTTTTATATAAATTGGCACTTTAAAACGGGCCATATATCTATTTATTAGCGCGTAGCGAGTTAGGTGTGAGAGATACACACAGCCAGAGCGTAACGGCGGATGGGTTTTGCAATGAAGGAACTCCTAATCAAAACAAAATGCATCGTGTGTAATTATGAAACGTGCTTCTGGCTCCTGATTCCTCTGCCAGGGCGAGATGTGGGGCTGGGGGAGAAGGGAGGGACCTGGCTGAGGGGGGTGGGTTTGTGTGTTTTGGGGTTGTTTTTTTCCACACTGAGCTCAGTGAAGCAGCAGGACGCTGATGGATTTGCAGTTGTTTCCTTACACAGAATAATTTTTTAAAAACTCAATAAGTTATTGATTCAAAGAGCAACCCATTGACCAAGCGGAGATTTAGGGACCACGGGAAGGGGCCGGGGACTGCTCCGTCTCACACCTGGCAGTGACCGGACCTCGCTCAGCCCCACTCCTCAGCCCTCGTAGGAAAACAAACAGCCCTGCTGGATTCTGCACCTCTTGTAACTGGGAGTAACTGGGAAAACGTTAGCCAGGTGAGATGGGGGGGGGTGTGTCTGTCTGCACAAACCCACAGGCACACAGAACAGCAGCAGGTCACACGGTGACGTGGTGAGCGCTGGCCCTACCGTGGGCAAACGCCCATTTCCAGGATGCTGGAGCTGCCCCTGGTTTGGGATCACTTGTGTGTTTACACCAGTAACCGCACTGGGGCCAGTTCTGGGGAGCTGGGCTGTCAGTGCAGTGGGATTAGTTGACATTTTTCTATCTGCAGCAGCGGTGACAATGAGCTCTAAATCCCTTCAGCGCCGGGAAGCCGATGTCTGCGCACCCTTGGTGCTGAAGAACCACATCCTGTGGCAGAATCCTGATGGGAATCCCATGGGATTGTCCCATGGGCCATGACCACACCTGAGGTAGGGGACGAGGTGAAGGGTTAGCGAGGCTGGTGCTGCTCCCTCACCTCAGGGAAGGGCTCGAGCTGCAGCTTTGTCCCCACAGGGTCACTTGTCATCTGGAGAGTGGCCTTTGCCATGGTCCTAACAGCAGCCACATCTCCAACACCTACACCAGGGCTGGAGAGTGACATTAATGTGCAATGAAGTGACAAGATGGGAGCAGAATAAAAGAGCTTTGGCTTTGAAGTGATTTTTTTTTTTCTTGTTTTGTTTTTCATAAATTATTTATTCTTTTTTTTTTTTTTTTCCTTCTGTAAATATATTTATTTTATTGTGAAGCTAACACCATCTGGATTGTAACATGTACAGAATGTATGGTAGGAATGTATTCTCTTGTAGGAATGTAAATCTGTGTGAAAAAGGGTATGGGAGCCACATTCAGAGAAAATGAATTGAGTTCCAGGCAGGAGATCCATGGTTCATGTGACTTCTTTCTTTTTCCCCCCCCCTTCCCTCCCCACTCTTTTTCTAATATGGGTCTGGTTGTTTGAAATATGCAAAAAAAAAAAAGTTATGGGTAAGGGACAGATTTCTGTTCAAAATTCACCTTAGTCAGGTTCCTACCCCATCAGCTTCTTGAGATGGGCGTCCCCCCCTGCCCCACTGCTGGAATCTGCACCAGGAACAAACGCCGCCACCTCCATCCTGCTGGCCTGGGAAATGGTTGGAAAAAGGTGATTTATTTTTAATTTTATTTTTTTAAACACACACATGGGAGGGCTGAAGAAGGTGCAGGATGTTCCCTCCAGCCCTAGAAGTTGCGACAGAGCGGAAGGCAAGGCCAGACAAGAAGCCATGACCGCGCACTCGACACGTGCGGCAGAGAATTTGCTTCCTCCACTTCAAACTCCCTGTGTGCAACCAGCTGGTCCTTGGCCACCACGGGTCCTCTCCTGGCCCCCCAGAGCCCTGTTTGCAAGGAAAGGGAACTTCCCTCTTCCAGAAACATCGTTTAGATGCAGCAACCAGGCACTTTCCTTGCAGGCAGCTGGAACAGAAGAGGGTTAAATACAGACCTCACGACAGGTAGTTTAGTTTCCCCCCCTCAATGCTGTGTGGCAAGAGGCTGGGTTGTTAAAAACCAATGTTTAAAATCCAAAGTTTACACTTTTCTCACCATTAAATTGAGTAAATGGTAATGGGTCCTGGCTGACAAACGGTTTAATTCAAACTCTGGTGTTTTGTGGATTATTTTTGTTCTCATTACAGGGTTTTTTTTTTCGGTTTCCCCCTCCCCATCAGATTTCAGGATCCTGCTTCTGTGCAAGTTGCTTTTCAGTGCTTCTATGAATTAATGAGACTGAACATTTTTAAAGTAATTCGTTCTTTTTTAAGCACTTTTTTTTTTCTGAAAATAAGCCTAATGCAAGTTCTGGAACCTCTTTAAAAAACACAAATTGCAGATATAAAAAAAAAATAAAAAAATAATAATAATAAAAAATCCCAACCTCAACTCCTATCTAGTTCTGAGCGTAATCCATACTAACGCCTGTGAAGGCCAAGATTCTGGAAAAGGTGTAAATAGTGTGACATGTTCAGTGCATGGTTGTTTGAACAGGGCTTGTTATTGTCAAAAAAAAAAAGAAAAAAAAAAGAAAAAAAAGGAAAAAAAATAAAAGAAAAAGGCTGTATTGCCCCTTCCCCTCCCACAGACCTTAGAGCTGTGCCTTTTCTATGCAATATTACAGACATATACATCTGAAACCAGATGACTGTATTCACACGTAGGTATGGGCTGTAATCAAAAACCAATTGGACAAATGTACATGGAAATGAGCAGTCTTACTTTTGTAGTTTTATATTATACAATAAACAATTAAAAGATATTCTGGCTTCGTTCTTTTCCCCTCCACAAAAGAGGAAGAATCTGCCCGGTTTCAAGACGTGCTGCTCTTTAGGGACTTAAAGCCCAACGGGAAACAGCCGCTACCTTCATCCACCGCTTCACTTACAGGTGCCTCTTCCCCCTCAGTGCTCAGGTGAGGGGTGTTCGCTCTCGGTGTTTGGGGACACGGGACACGCAGAGAAAG